TGGAAATTATTTGTCGACGACAATAAATTCGATTCTATCACATCAACTCAATAACTCAGTGCTTTTTAAATTGTCTTTCTCTTGCAACAACAGCAATTCTCAAGTTTGATTAATTACGAATTTAATGACTTTAAAAAAGGCCTTTCGTTAAAAAAGAGAAAAATTCGCCATATTTTCACGTCACTACACATGAGTTTTAATTGAAAACAAAGCATTAGCTCGAACGAAAACGTCAAAAATTAAATCAGTTCATCACTTGAATTCTCGAATAGGAATTGTGTCATATTTGTCATTTTCAAGTAGGTTAATTATCATGTGGAAAGAATTGTGCACTCATGGTTGACAATTTGAAATGTTTGTTAATTTCGACTGCAGAAATGTCAAAAATCAAATCATCTTGACTGTTTAATTAAAATTATCCGTTGCATTAGACTGATAACACTCTGTTTGGTAAATTATAGTACACTTGATTAAGCTTATGATTGCACTGATAATATCAAGTTGTACTGATAGTACTGGGTTACGTTTAATTTTACGTTTAATTTTTTTTCTTCCATACGCTTTCTACAATCATTTTATTTTGTTAAAATATGAAATCTATCATTTCAATTAAATTGCAGACTATAAAGAAATTATGCCATTGGATGAAATAATTACCGAAAATAAGAACTATTCATCATTTGTGGAAGAGAAAAAGCCAATTGCCGCTGAGGAAAATAATGAGAAAAAAGTAACGACTGCTGCTGTTTCACGTCACGTAACGTTTATTTAATTTCATTTTTTCTTCATTTACCATTTTTTGCCATCATTAATTAATTTAATCTTTCTCTTCCATTTTGAAATAATGAAACAGTCAAAAGTTATGAGGAATTTAAGTAAACAGATATAAATAAATATTAGTTATTGATCTATTCATTGGCACCTTTCGCATTTTTTTTAAAACGACATCTTTACTTGGAAATGTATTTTAGCGAATTAATAATATTAAATTTACTCATTCATTTACTTATTATTCATTTATTCATTCATACTTTTGTAGTTTCTTTTTTTAAAATCAAAAATTGTTTTTCTGTTTTGCTTTTCAAACTTTATCTTAATTTTATCAATTCTATAGTAAAATGAAACAAAAATTTGCTTGACCGTTTTATAAAAATCCATTATTTTATATTGAATGCCATCATCTTCACATCAAAATCACATTTATTGATTAATTGATTATCGATTATTGCAGTTATCATTTCATTTTATTGCAATAATAATCTGTTCATTCAGAAGAAACAACTGCCGCTTAGGGATCAATTGATTGATTGATTTCCTAATTGTTCAATTTCTTGCATTTATTTAATTTAGGATAATAAACATTTGAAGTATTATTGAGGCCTTTAAAGCTATACCATAGATAATATTCCATTACCGCACATTTATTAGCAATAATTGATATGGTCGGGGTGATAAGTGATAAGCCTAATATTACTCATTCTCATGATGTATTCTGAGAATAAAATAAAAAAAAATGATTAAAATGTCATTTGTCCCACCAGATTAGACATCAATATCATAGATGAATTTAAATATATGCGAATTATTTATCACTCAGATTGTAAATTTATCAAATAATCATATATGAAATATAAAATAATCCCTATCTTTATCATCATCTATACATTTTCCTAATGATAACTACTGAAGAATAAATGAATAAATATGATTTATTATAATTTGTTCAATTACCATATACATACTTTTTTTCGATTACTCAAGTAGTCTGTAAAATTTCAAAAACTTTTAAATAATAAATGATTTTTTTTTTAATAAAAAATTATTCCATTCTTTTTGATCTCTCAAAAATAGCATATTCTCTTCAAACTGCGTAAAGTGTTTAATTTGTGTTAAAGTTTCATTCCATTTTTCAGTCAATTATGAAATAATTAAAACAAGAATTACAAATGAAAATTTGCAAACGGCGGCTAATACTTTGTGAAAATTTGAAGAAGGAAATAATAGCAAATTATAGAGTGCTTTCTGAAATGCTTTTTGGGCCTTCAAATTCCGTAAACAAATATATTTCAAATTTCGATTCGTTTTTATCAGAATTCGTACAATTTTTTAATAATTCCTCTTCCATATTTCAAAAATTCGGATATACCCCATTTTTAATCTATTTTCGCTAATCTATTTTCGGAAGCTATCCGGGAAAAACAGAATTCTGAAACAGAATCCGATAATGAAAAAGAGCATTCAGTAAGTAAGTATTAACAATTTTATGTTATAAAATCAATGGTATTAATCTATCCTGCAAAATTCCATGATAAGCTTGATAAAAATGAAGGAGCAAGTGATAGTTTCACTGATTTACTCGACGGACGGCTTTTTGATAACTTAGATGATTATCACTATTAGCAACTTATATCACCATCTTAGGCTTGAAATTATTCATATCGCTTCTTCATTTTGTCATGTCTTAAATTGCAAAAACATTTTGTAATATATTTGCAAAATCTGTTTCCTTCCAATTTTGAACTATAAAATTTCCTTTTATGTTGCAAAGATTATAGCACTCATTGTTAGAGAAAATGCGAAATACTTTTAATCAGTCTGATATCAAGTGATTGGATAAACCGTTATGACCTGAATTGTTGTCCAAATTAAAGAGGCGCCGGTCATTCGGGGAATAGGATCGAGAGGAGACGGAGGAGAAAATATGGAAGGAGGAAAGATGACTTAATGCTTTGTTTAGAGATTTCAATAAAAGATTAATATAAAAGATTTGGTTTTTTCTTTTTCATTTCCTTCTTTCCCATTATCTTTTTCTTTAAATGTTATTTTATAATTGAAATTTTGTTTAAATTCTAATTTCGTTTTAAAAAATAAAATTTTTTAATCTTTGAAGTTTCTTCTGTTTGTCAATTTAGTTTTGATTTTTATCATACATTTCGTCGCTTTTTTTTGGTCCAAAGATTTTTAAAAAAAAAGAGAAAAAAAACTGTTTTGTTTTGGGATATATTTTGCGAAAAATTAGGAAAAAAAGAAAACAAAAATGAAGAAGCAAAAAAAATTGTGCAAAGAAAATTGGAAAGAGAATAAATTACAGTGAGAAAGAGAATAGAAGAGAGAAGAAATATGAATAAAAAAAATTAAGAGATAAGAAAAATGAAAAAAAAATAACGAACAATGGAGAAAGAGAGAAGAAAAATGAAGACAAGTATGCAAGTAATCATCATAATTAATTAATAAGCGTTTTAATCATTCCAATTCGTAGTCAAACAAATCATTTAGGATTTTGAATGGGATAATTTCTGAAAGAAATGAAATTTAAATTCAATTTTAATTCTCAACATCCTTCCTAAAAGTGACGATTTTAAGAATTTTTCCAAATTAGGAATGCATTGATTAATTGGAGATATCATAAAATTATGGATTTCTTCAAGAAGAGGATAACTTTAAAATGTTCTAAGAATGTAAGAAATAAAACAATAAAGATTTTTAAATAATATTCCATGATCGATTAGAATTATTAAATTAATTTTGATTAATCTATTTGTCAGGATAATACGGTTTTCTGAAGTCCTTCCGGATGGAGTTAGATCTATCTGCTTTCAAGAACGTTTAATTCTTCACGCTATTAACTGATTAATGTATACTTGTTCCGGATTTTATCTACTCGTGATAACAGAAATATTCTCGTTTATAAAAAAAGAAACACTATTATAATTCTACTAAATCTCAAATATTAGTATTTTCCCTTTAAAGTTATGGTAATAATCTAATGAAAATACCAATAGAAAAACGAACAAAAAGAACTGATAAAGAAAATATGGCTTTATTTAAGAATCATCTGCTATGATATTATTTAAAAAATTCATTAATAAAATGTTTAATATTACAATTAATTATTGGATAGTTTTAATTTTGCATAATTTCCTTTTCTTGTTCAATTGGAAAGGCAAAATTTTAATTTAATGTATAATAGAAATGTAGCAATTAATTAGCTGCAAAATTTACAACACCAACTGTTAATGGATTTCAAGGTCAATAGTATATCAATTGATGTTTGTGGTTTAAATGGGTTCGGTTAATGAATTTGCAACTGACGAGGGACGATAAAATGTTGACCTTGTTCATTTCATGATCCGTTTGAGTAGTTTTAATCGAATGCTCAACGCCATGGCTTTCATCACTGATAAAATCTTTTGAAATTTAATTTAATACAATTTAATGGTTAAGTAATCAATCATTTCAAGGTACTGTCATCAGTGGTTAAATGCTAACATAATAAAATCCTATTTCCTTTTTTTAATCAAAAAAACAGCTTATTATTACTATTTTATATTATTTATTGAAAATATAAAATCAATAATTGATTAAAATTTTTTCCTGAAATTGACAGAACATTTAAATCATCAAGATATTTCAAAAATGAAAATATTAATGCCAAAGTGTTATTATAAAATTTTCTTAGCATAGCAAAGAAAAAATATTGTAACTATTACTACTTTGTATAGCATGAAATCTTTTCATTTTAAAAAAAAAAAAAA